TACCTGACGTTCTGCCAGCGTATTTTTTTCTTCAAGGCTTTCTTCTCGTTCCTGGTAATGGCAGGAAGAGGAAGCACAAATTATAGTAATCTGAAAGTTGACTACTTTTAAACATTTAGGACCTGGAATGGTCATTTGTCCCTACAAAGACTTTACACTTAAGTGCTATTCAGAGTCTCAATCTTTTTTTTTTTTTCATGCCAGGTGTAACCATTAGACCCTCTAAGTGTGACTTCCTATCCCAGGCCATTAAATCTTATTACTGAGCTTTACAGTATGTTTCACTAAAGCATGTCTCCAGAAAAAGCATCCAGCCTGGAGCCGAAGCCACCGCAGTAGGAACCCATTGCTCCACTTGGCAGGAAAAGTGACTTGATTTTCGTTTTCCTGATGGAGTTCGGGAGGCCATTAACTTCAGAAATACATATAAAAAGTGGGGTAGGGAAGTTTGTGAATAGCTCAGATTTGCTTTGTAACTTACGGCGATAAAGTGAAAGTTATCAATATATCATTTTGCAACTGAAACCCTTCTCTTACATAAGGTGCTTAGGAAAGCGTAGGAAAAAAGGATTGGAGAGTGGGTCTTGCTCTATGGTTCCTGGACATTAAATAATAGATTAATGATGGTTGGATTACAGCCAGGCAGCCAAGGAAACCAAGGCTGTCTTCTCAAAAGCATCGATATGCACAAGAAATACAGATGGGCTGGTTACAAGCACAGGACGTTCGCTCCCTGGTTGAGGTGCTGTGCAGTATCGCCTCAACATTTGGGGATAGTTATTCGGATAACAGGGGAATTATTCCCAGCATGCCCAAATGCAGCATAGAAATCCTGCTCTGTTGCTTGCATGGGGAAAGGGAAAGAAGAGATTTCCCCCACAGCGTGTTTGTGCAGTAGAAAGCCTGTGCTAGTCCTGCAAGGGAACTGCGTGCTTCCATGTTTTCCACATTAATCTCCAATTAATCCAAGTGAATAGTGAGTTCTAGCTGTCTTAATACTATTTTTCAAACCTTCATAAAACCAGTGACGGTGTCTCTCTGTATGAGAAATACAAACCAAATTCATACCTGTTTCTACAAGAAGTTATAAATGGGAAGAGTTTGACCTGGCATTTTGTGAAGTGTTAGTTCGTATTATCTCATCTGTTCCAGAATGAAAGTTGCTAAATTCAGTCAAAATTAAACTCTACACTGAATATGTGCTTGGTTAACTTTATTTTTATCTAATGCAGTCAGACTTTTTAAATAATTCCATAACATTAGTTAGGAAGATCTTTAACACTTATTAAAATAAAAATCATTGCAAGGTTAAAATAGCTCTTCAGGCTTGAATCAGTCCATGTCATTTAGACTGCTCACTGCTTCTGGCTTTGAAAATATTACAGATGGTCAATAAACTCCAACAAATGTTCATCAGAACTGCAGGCTGACGATTCAGTATAGTCTGGAAGCCATATAAATACTAATGCAGACAGCTGGTGAAATTGCTTTTCCGCAAAATGAAGTGATTGTCAAAAATATCTCCTAGGTTGACCAAAAAAATGTTTGATGCATCTCCTTTCTTTTTTCACAACTAAATAATAGCAATTCTAATAGATTCCTATTTGCAAGTCATTTTCTTAATGGTGCTGATGCTTTATAGTTCTTAAGGAGATTATACTTCATAAATGTATCAACAGTTGCACTCTACTAATTTGCAGAACAAATTTTTAAAAAAAGAAAAGCTCTATTTAGAGCTGTGCTATCTTTTGCTACGCTGTCAGATGACGTAGCGACACCTGCCAAAGGTCATCCAGAAAAGCATATATCACAAGGCGAGTGGATGTCTCTTTACGTCACTTTAAATAGAGACTGCTACTGTTTGAGCTGAGCTACAAATTCAATTCCCTGCAGTAATTTAGGATAAATGTCTTTAGAGATGCTCATACATCCTGCTAGGTCAATTTGTCTTTCAGCACCAGTTGAAGAGAAACAAGTTTGTGGAGACTAACGCCTGGGTGTATTTAAGGAGGGAATGCATTCACTTATCTTTCCAGAGGTTATGTACAAATTGGTATTTTAGGATCAATGGAAGAAAATGGAAAAAAGAAAGAACTGGCCCTTGACCACCGAGATGACGGTGATCCTCATTTGTAAATCTCAACAAAGCCCAGGCATGAGAGCTGTCCCGCTCCTCCTTGGACCTGCAAGTGGGACGTAGCTCCAAGCGATGCCATTATATCTGGCAGGGAAAGTGTGCACATGCAGGCTTTTTGAGAGGTGATTTCCAGCAGGAGGGAGGGACCACAGTGGCCTTAGTGGCAAGGCTAGAGCTGGGAAAACCAAAGGAGCAGCGGTGGCCGCTGCGCCTTCCCCAGCAGTTTGCGTTCTTGCTGGCAGGCCCGTGGGTGCTTCTTCCCTGGGAGGTGGTTTGCAATTCAGTGAGCGCAGGTTACCAGGAAGAGACATCTCCCTGTGTGTAGAAATAAAAAAAGCCATCCGTTCTTGCGTCTCACAGATTAACTGTCTCTTTTAGTCCTGTACTTGTTTCCCTTAAAGGTTGTTAGCCAGCAGTTTGCTTCCCCTTTCCTTCTGGATACAATCTCCTTCACCATCCCCCAATATTTAAGCAAGTCTGATTTTCTTTCAGTGCTTGGGTCATGTTCTTTCTTCCTGTCACCTGGGGCAGTGGCAGGGTCAATCGATGACCAGCCAACTTTCAGGAAGCAGTGCTAGGTATGTCAAACCCACACCTCTGCAAAAGAGAAAAGCTCCCATAAAACAATAAACTGCTGAACTAACTAACTGCTGGCCTGCCCTTAGCAGGCAGATAACCAGCTTCTGTGCAGGCCATGCATCAGTCTAGCCAGAGGTACCATCCCTCAGGAGACGGGTCACTTCTTGCACTGAGTTTTGGTGATTCTTCTCCTTCTCCATGTTCTCCCCCTCTCCCCCTCTTCCTCTCTCTCTGTTGTTACCAACTTAAATAGTTTCAGTGCTTGCTGTCAGACTTGCAGAGATTGGTTACATGCTATTGGCAATGGGAGAACAGGAAAAAGCTTCCTAACAGTAGCTATTATTGCTGTTTTCATGTTAAGAATTTGTGCTGAAGATCTCCTAGGGATCTAATCCATGAAGGCATCCTTCTTTTTTGTCTCACGCCCAAAAGCTACAGGAAAAAAAAAACTGAGATAATAGTTTTGAATGCGTCTTTGGTGTCTTATCAGAGGTCCCATGGGCTTGCTGAGTTGCTTTGGTCAAAGTACTTGCTTTTTCTGTGTCTCAGTTCTTTGATTAGTAAATTGGAAATAATTGCACTCACTTTTTTAAGCGCTGCTTTAGTGAACCGATCTCAGTGCCAAGTATTACTTTATTTCTGTTAATGGCACTACAGAGTACCAGTAGTACTTTTTCAGAAAAACAAACTACTTGAAGAGGCTCCATTTCCTTTCCTCTCTGCTTCCTCGCTGTCCCAGCACAAGTGTCCTGGCCCATGTTACTTCAGCCATACTGGAAAACATTAAAATGATTGTGATAACTCTCTGCAAATTCATTCTGATAGCAGAAGTGAAACTTGTATCATCTGTTACTCTAGTGCTAGCATTAAATCCCATCAGTATCAATCAGCCCAAAATTCTGCAGTTCTGCAGGCATGATGCAGTGTACAAGACCTGTTTCATCAGTGGCTTATCCTAACCTTACCATAGTTACGTTTCTGCAGTCTTTTTATCTCCTTGAGATCAAACCTTCATCACTTTCCATGAAAAAATAGAAGCATTTGCTTATTGTGCAGCTTACTGATTTGCTGAAAAATAACATTAACAACAATGATGAAGCAAATGACAAACAATGACAAAAAAAATTGTGTGTGAAAATACAGGTTGGTAGACAAAAGAGGTTGAAATTGTAGTAGAAACCTAGAGCATGCCGTTATTATTTCTTTAGGGCAAGGAGGTGCTCGGCAACATTCCCACTATAAAGAATTTAGAAAAAGCTACCTGCTTCAACTATGCCCTTGTGCATAATAGGAAAAGCTGGCATTGCTCAGCTTTTGCTTTTCAAATGCTGTCCATCGTAGAGAAATACATTTCATACTTTCTGTAACAAAGGAATGACTGGAAGACAAAAACTCTGCCACAGAAACCAGCTATCTACTAAAAGATAAGCAAAGCACATCAGTTGAAGTTACGAGCATGAGATTAAAAATAGGGCAGGAATTAAGTCCCTCAGACTAATGCTTCTATTTAGCATAGGTCTGCAACCTAGCTCGGCTTTATGTACAGCTAGTTAAAAATCCTGTGTAGTGTGAGATGAGTTTGGTTTCTTTTAACATTCTTATCGCTTAAAAAAAAACCTGTTAATCATCTTTCCAGGATGCTGCAAATAGTACTTACTTTGAGTTCTAGTAAGATGGAATTTTTTTTTTTTTCCGTAGGAGGTGGAGCTTTAATATCTTGTTGTTTTAAAAACCTGATATTTTCACTGTACGGTTTTTTTGCCATATGTCAAAAATTATTCTCGTTGCAGACTATCTTGCCGAATACTGATTTGAAAATAATAACGTGACTAAGTTTTTGGGGCTGTCTTTTGTGGGGGAGGCCTGTATGTTGGTTTATTGACTGTCAAAGGGGTTACAGTGAGGAAGTTTAAATAACGGGAAGGCGGTTAAAAAAAAAAACAGTGGACAACCTCTTCCTTTGCTACTTACAAATCAAGAAAAATAAAGATGCAAATGTCATCATATGACTCTGTTTTGCCCTTATGAATGTACGTGTGTGCATGGGGAGAGGCTAGGAGGGTATTCCTCTGAGATATGGAAACTAATTCTACCTGCCCTGGGCATTTCTTTTTCAAAAAAAAAAAAAATCTCAGAATCGTGCAATGAGACTAATTTTTTTCGTTATCATTATTTTTCCCCCCAAAGTGGCTGATATCAAGTCAGTGTGTAAACACATAATTAAGCATTTTAAATAGCTCTCCATGTGTTCCATTGATTCAGCTATCCGTCATGCATTTTATAGGTGCTCATTGCCTGAAAAATTACATCACTTATTTGGAGTCTAAATACCACGTGCGGCTGAAGAGCTGCGTACCGAGGTTTGAAAACACTGTCCTTACGCTTGTTGCAAGGCGACGGTGCGCTTTTAGTCATCCTGGGACAGGATACTCGGTTAGGGAACGTGGCGGTGACAGTTTGCACTAGCTGAGGATCTGCTGGCTGCGTTCGTGCTTTGCATGCGCCGTTGGGATCGTGTTGTATTTGAACCGTGTTATTTAGGAGTTTGAGCACGAGTACGTGATGGCGGGTTGGTTGGGGGGGGGGGGGTGCTGTTCATACTGCATAGGAAAAGTCCGCTAAAGAAAACGTGACTACTGGTTAGTGCTTGGATTGGTCTCCAAAACATAGTATTTAGCTTGCAAAGCTTTCATTGGAAAAAATACACCCAGCGCACACACTAAATGAGGCGAGATGCAGGAAGATCATTGTGTAGTGTAGTGTGTAGTGGGTTAGTCAATTAGCATGGCAAACTTGTGCTGCAGGATGCAGTGTATGGAAGCTGATGCATGGCCATTTTGGCACGCCCCCAGTGTGACCTTCAGCATGAAGAAAAAAAATTATCTGTGTCTGGACTGCTCTAATAGTATTGAAAAGATGCCTTTGCTCGTCAGAGGACTATACAGTAGACTGCTGCTGTGGGCTGAGGTGAGTTTGTATTAAACAATAGATATTGCTTTGATCCAATCTACATAGCATAAGGCAGGAGATACAAGAAAAGAGATGGATTCTGTTGGCGTGCAATTAGTTTGTTACCAAATGCACGTGCATTTTTAAAAGCCAGCTTGCCTGGAAAAGCTGTTGGACCTGGCAACGTATTTATCTTTTGCTAGTGAGTAAACGGGACTTTCTACCTTTAGGAGGATTAAACTTGAGGTCAGAGCGAAGCAGCTGTATCACAGTTCAATCGGTGTCTCTAGGCTCTCAGTTGTAACCTACTCAAAATTCTGGAAGTGGGGTGGGTTTTTTTTGTTTGTTTGCTTGTTTTCCTTCCGTTCCTTTGGCCTCAGTTTGATTTATACGTGCTTTTTTTGGTACAGGAGATCCAAACCCAAGGAGAAAAAAACATATGAAGCAGCAGGCTTTTACTATATGAGAAAGCATACTTGAAGTTGTTTTCAGAGCAGAAAATGTGTTCGAAGAGCCCTAATGACCTACATATAGAAAAATAAAATAAAAAAACACCTCACATCATTATGAAAGCCAGAAGAGGAAAACAGGAGGTGGATCTCACTGCTTAACAAAGCACTGAACTTCATGGTAAAGTCTCCCTGCAACCTTTAGATTTATCTTCGTCTTTTACTAGCCTTCAGAAACACTCATTTTTGGCTATGTTGTAGCTTAAACAGAAAGTTTCTCAAGTCTTTTAATGTGTACCTCTCTTTAGCAGACTCAGTTTAGAAAGGTTTTTGTGCCTCTGCATAGTCTGTGGCCCCCGGAGGGAGGGCGAGGAACACGTTGTTTGGCCATGTGTGTTTGGGAGCAGCGTCTCCGCTAGCTCTGAGGGGAGTTGGCACCGGTTGTTGCTCACTGAGGAATTGTGCAGAGCCTGTTCGATCACTTAGAAAAAGCAAATGCAATGCTTATTTCTAGGTCTTTGAGTTCAATAGGCATGGTGGCATCTCAGAGGAATAAGGCATCCGTCGTGTTAAAGTTGCTTTTTATTTTTATTTTTTTCTCCCATTGCAGGAAGCAGAAAAGGAACGGCCGCTGAAGGACTGTGTGGCCTACTTAAGGAGGAAAGGACAGGCATATCGGTAAGTTTGAGACCACTTATTCAAAATGCAATTACATTAGTCCGATACAAAGAAAAATACATAAACAAACAGAAAAGGAAAATTAGGAAGCTTGGCTGGAGTGCCAGCAAAAGGCATCTCCATTAGGCTCCCACTTCATCGTGTGAATATTTCTCCACAGGGTAAGTCCCAGGAGCAAAGCAGCACAGGGTAGCCTGCAAAAAGGAGAGGTTCAGATAATACATTGTCTTAAAGCTAACCCTCTGAAGATTCATTCACCATTTACAGTCACGTTTATCTGTCTAAAATCTCCCTTTTTGGTCACTTTGTGCAGGTAGCAAAGTTCTGGTTTATTCAGAGGACCATGCATTAATCTTTCAAGGGGAGACACAGTAGTAGGGTCGTAGTTGGCCTTTTTCTGAGCCTTCTGAATCTCTTCATTCAGTGTGTCGGCCGCAATGAAACATCTCACGCTGAGCATCAGCTGTGGCATCTAAATTGTATTGATGAAGCCTCTACGTAGCTAATTATTTGATACACAAGTTAGTGCTAATGTTTTTGTGGAAACAGCATTATTTACAGGCTTCTGTATCAGATCCTTGTTCACGTGTTCAGCTGAGAACACTGTTTTCAGCTCTTTTTTTCTGGCAGAATAGAAAGCCTGTATGCTGATGGAGTATTTTGCTTTGATCCAGAAGAAAGTGTCTGTAAAAATCAAAAATAAAATGTTTACTAACTTTTCAAGATGTTAAAAACCAAACTGACAGCTTTTGGTCAAGCAGTCTTCAATTTATTTAAAACCGTTAGCTTAATCTCAGTGTAACAGGGCCACAGAAAACCAGAAAGCAAATACTTATTTTCATGTTATTGATTAAGGCCTCAAAATAGTGAAAGGCACAATGTACAATGAATAATTGGCCATGGTCTCTTGAGGCAGAGCCATTTCAGCTTTTTCATCACAAAGCTGCAGGGGACTGTAAACTGGCTATACAAAAATTATCTTCACATAATCTATCAAAGAGACCATCTGACTCCATCAGAAAAAAAGATCATGAAAAGTTATGTATGTTACCCCTTGGAAGTGGAATAAGTGTCTTCTAGGAAACTGCCTTTTTTTTTTTTTTTTTTTCTTTAAAGCAACATTTCATCACTTCCATATAATGCTTTTCTGGAGGAAGATGACAGCTGCTGCGCCTTTATAATAAATTCCGTAGCAGAGAGCTTCAGAGGTCGAGGGAAGCAGCACGCAGCTCTCCCCCCTCCTACTCCCCAAAAAGACCAATGAACTTGAGAGAAAAGAGTCAGTGAAACAATCAATCCAAAATGAGAGAGAACTAGAACTAAAGAAAAAACAAATCATTTAAACAAGAAAAAAAAGGCTTAATATGCAACTTTAACATAACACTTAAGTGAAAACTGATTAAAAAAAGAAACAAATCAGGTAGAGTAAGGATTTGGAATTTGTCCACAAGGAGCATTTGTCCAATGTTCTTCAGTGATAAAACTCATGAAGTCTGTAGAAGGAAAAAACTCTGAGAGTAACTAACTGCACTAAAATGAGTATTGATTTTTTTGCTGCTCAGACAACATAAGCTTTCGAGAGAGATATATTATTTCAAAAGTGAAATAGAGTGCTTTCATGGAGCTGAATGCATTTGCTACTACCTTTGCTACATCCTAGATAAAATCTTAAATACTAGCTGGTTCATTAATTGTAAAAACTACACTCAAATGAGGAGCTACCTGGTAATCTTTCACTTAGCAATTACATTTTATTTATACATCATTAGTATATATTTTATATATTTATATATTTATATTTTTATTTCTATTTTATACATCATTAATATATATTTTATATATTTATATTTTATTTTCTGGAAAGTTTCAGTTTCCCACAGAAAAAACAGGGTTCACATTACTCCTTTGAGGCTTATTGCATTTGACTTACAACCTAATGAGGTATGATTGATAGTATTAAAAATGCTGAGAAACACCCAGGCTTTTTGTAATTTTTATTTCTGTGCTATCAATCAGACAAAGACAACTAAGCATCACTGCAAAGTTTGTTTAATATATTCCAATCAATATGACCTCTTGGAAGTAACGGCTCTAGTAATAGAAAAGTGCTTGTGGCATGCCAGTATTTAGGAGGAACAAGATGGGATGATCTTGACTGCACAAACATTTGCAGTCTTCTAGCAGTATTTTTTTTCTTACATGAGAAGACAGGGCAACGTGATTTGTTTAGTAAGCTGGACTAACTCAAGCAAAAAACATTTTACTATGACCAAATGTAGAGGCACATGTATAATAAAAAGGAATTCAGTATGGCTGGGGGGGGAACACGCCTCAAAAACATAAAAGATTCCTTTGCACTGTTATAGCTAAAAAAGGTATTAATAGGTAGAGGAAATGGAAGCAAGAGAATGATTTTTACTTCTATACATAACGTTAAGAGGTCAACCTAGGAAATTTTTTGATGCCCACATTTTTAGAAAAGATATACTGAAATACCAGAAATAATGCATAGCGTCATTTAAAAAAAAAGAATCAAAGGGCAAAGAAAAAGCCTTATATCAATTTAAAGAACTTGAACTGTTCAGCATATCCCTCCCCCCCACCCCCCCAAAAAAAAATTGATAGATAAGTTGCTTATAGGATAAAAGCTTTTTTTCCTCCTGGCGAAGGAAAGTTTTTGCTGCCCTGCAGTCATGATGGGGCCAGAGCAGATCCAGCCAGGAGTGGGACGATGCACTCAGGTAACACAGTGTCCAAGAGCAAGATGAGTTCAAAATGGATATTCACTAAAAACATGTGCCAAGGAGAAGGCCCATACTACCAAGCACTGATTTCACAAGAGTTCAGCTCAGGACCAAACAGTTTAGTCGAACCCAAGCGGGTGGGCTCACTACCTGTTTGGAGCAGCCCTGTAGCTGCCTGAATTGGAAATGAACAATCTAGTTACCTACTCGTTACAGATACTCTGATGGTCTCTTTTGGAGTTAAGCACTCTAAATCTATGCACAGGTGTTGCTGATGGTATAATTCAGCAGCAATTGAATTGCAAAGTATAGGTGGGAAATTAATCTGATCAACAGACCAGGTGTACATTACTGGTACATTACTGGTACAAGCAAGACAAAACAGGAAAAAAGCAGCTCAAAGTTAAGGCTAAATTTCTCAGAAGTCCCAAGTACTGGAAGTTAAGTTAACTTTATGGCCAAGCCTCACGGAACAGTTCAGGGATGCGTGGTTAGTTTCTGCTTGTGGGAGGAGTAGGAGAAGCACAATAGTATACTTTTGAGTTATCACAAGCATAAGGAATGTACTATGCTCTTGATGAGCCATACTAAACAGGGAACATACATACACAAAATAGCAGAAATGGAAATTAGCACTGCGCCCCTGCAAGAAGAAATAAGCTGATTCTTTACTTTACATTGCACAGTCTACTCTCACTTTTACACAGTGTCAAATGTTTTAGCCAGGTGAGTACTGCAGTGGGCTGAAGGCCTCCAGGTGCTTTTGCTAAACATTAAAAAAAAAAAAAAAAACCTTCTAACAGGAGCAGTGATATGCCAAGAAACTGCTAGAGAACAGTCTGTTATATTATTATTTTATATACACATAAATAAAAATGTTAAAAAAAATATATATATATATATATATATAACTACATCTATAAAAGCACTTTCTTTTTAAGCTTAGATAGCACGTGGCAAATGAGCTTTATAGTTTCTATGCACATACTTTTTTCCCTAAATTATTTCAAATTAAGTTTTCCACTTATTCCCTTCCCTAGCTGTGTGAAGAACTACCACAGTGCCACAAATTCAAAAGGCCCAGTACAGCTCAGGCTTTGATACATGTCTTCTGCTGCAGTAATATTTACTGAGGCACTTACAAGCAAGCATCTCACGCACGGTGAAAGAAAACAGCTCATCCTGAAAGATTTGTAGCCTAAACACCCAGTTTCAGAAAAGACCTGCTCGTTGTCATCCCTTTAGGCACATATCTGGACTGACACAAACCGCTGAACGTGTGAAGTTTTGCCATCACTGGCTTGCAGTTTGTCTCAAGCTTGTCTGCGGGCTGAAACCCAAGTCACACTGGTTATATGCACATGTTGCACATTTGTTCATTTTTAATTTTTTTAAACAGCCAGCAGGGCTGTTTTTAAAAAGGATATTTTTCTACCTATCTGATGCACAAATATATGGCCAGAGGCACTTTCTCCTGATCAGAGAACTGCAAAATATACTAATACCTTGCTCTTTCTTTTTTCCCAGATGCTATTTCTTTATATTTAGAAGCCATTTGAAAGAAAAGTGACAGGCGTACAAAGGAGCAAGCGTCACATCAGTAGCCCTAGCAATGTGGTCCGGGGAACAGGAGCACCTGGAGCACCGCAGTGGAAGTCTCCACCTGAGACACCACAACCCTGTCTCAGGACTGAACCAGCAGTTGTTTATTCAATTTACTCTACAGCTGCTATAGGGCACCAGTGTTTACCCTTTCCTGCCTCCTGCCAAGTCTCAGAGCTCTGCATTTTATTGTTTCCTGTCATCTTTGACCTATGAATTGGTTCTGTCACAGCCTCATATAACGTACAAAACGCAGCAGTTTCTGGAAGATCCTGGCTCAGGCTACGATTGTGAAAGGCACGTCTTTGCGCTGAGGAGCCTAATGTAAAGAAATAGAGCATCGTATAAACGGACAGGGAAAGGACTCTCTGCAAAAAATTACAGCTGCAGGAAAATTAGGCAAAGCATTTCTAAGTCCCTCCTAAAACAGACGGTCCTGTTCATTCCTGCCAACCACACAGAAAGAGAACAGGAGAAAGTCCCTATTAGAGGACTTATGCTAGCTGCAGAGATGGCCCGAGGCTTGCAAAGCCACTCATGCTCCTTCTGTGGTTGTTAGGCACCTCTCCAAATTCCCCCAGGCTTGAAATGCCAAACTGTCTGCTGAGGAGCTAACGCCCCATGCCAAATAAAAGCCAACCAGTCAACCGTGCCATGCTAGGAGACACAAATTAACGTGCTTTGCAGAAGTCCCCCTCCTCTTCCCAGGGTTTCTCAATAACTGGATCAAGTCACATGCCACCAGGGCACGGTTTCACCAGGTTTTTTTTGTTTGTTTGTTTTGGGTTTTTGAAGAAAACTTAATTCTACCAAACAAAGACAAAGAATCTAGTGAAATCTGAGGGAGTATAGTTTCTGAATTTTTGAATTTACCTCCCTTTCAGTGCTTTCATTGTGTTACCACTGACCATTTCCCTCTCTCCCCTCTTTTTTAACTCTCTTACCGTGCAGTGCCAAGGAGAGTTCAGCACGAGACTCCTGCTCCAGAAGGTGGTTCTTCTGGGGAGAAGAAGCTGTCCTGAGAGAGGAAATCCACAAAGAGATAAATATAAACACGCTCAGCAG